CTATGAAATGTGAGTGTTTATGCATTTGTCTTGTGAAAATGCATATCTAGAGCTTGTGTTTAGGGTTCTTGTGTGCCATTGCTTGGCATTTCCTACGATTCAAGTCATTTTGTTGTATTGGGTGAGATTTGGCATGTTTTGGACTTGAATTTGAGCTTGGAGTTGAAAATCCCCGAAGGGATTATTTTGGACACAGGGATGTACCCGCGGGCGGAACGACAGGCAGAGCCCTACCCGCCGCCCACCCGCAGGTACATTGGCCTCATGGGTAGTGTACCCGCGAGCAAAACCACGGGTAGGGGACTACCCGTGGGTCTACCCGCGGGGAACACTTCGATGTTGTGATGGGATTTGTTCCCCGTGATTCTTTTGACTCGGTATTTGGTCTTTTGACTTCCAGATGTTTTTTTGTGGAACTATTTGAGTGTCTTCTTGATGTTTCGTATGTCTAGAACTATATAGTAGGTATCCATGTAGGACTTTGGTATCTTGAATCGTGCTAAGTGTTCAACATTGTGTTTTGTTGAACCGTGATGTGTCTTGTGTGTTCCTCGGAACTACCTTTGGTTTATCCGTTTGATAAGCATGCTAGTTTGGTGTCTAAATGCTAGCGTGTGTGTTGTTTGTACCTTTCGTTTGGTTGATGATAACTTGTGTTATTCATCGTTGTTGTTGTTGGGCTGTGACCCATTCCTTGATTGAGTATGTTTCATATCTTCGTTGTGATCCGTTGATTGATTCCTGTTGAGGTGTGATGCGTGTGTGGCTTTACCTGGATTGCACGATTAGTGGATGGGACACTAGTCACCAAGGTATTGCAGCGGTCCTCGTGGTGGCCGTGACATGATTATGGAGCTGTGGCCTTTGTGTAAGGTTCACGTGTAACATGTGTTATCCAGGGCATGTGTTGCCATGTGTGTGTACGGTACCTCGTGTACTATGAAATCGGTGGTTTTGTTGGAGGGACTGTTGGAGGGGGAACGACGGTTCCCGGGGGAATAAGGTTGGACTTGGTGTACAGGGGTCCTGGAGGTAAAGGTTGGAACTAGACATAAGGATGGGGGTAGCCATAAGGTTGGAACCGGGCATAAGGAAGGCATATCAACTTGTGATGTGTGATGTCACGAGGGCTTGTGTAGCCGTGGTTGTGTTCTCTCTTGTGACGTGTGTAGTCACAAAGGCATGTGTTGCCTATTGTGTGAGTCTTGTTCTTTTGCGTGGAACTTGTCGGGTTTTGATCTATTGAGTGAGGATAGATCATACATTGACTCTTCTTGTGAGTCGTGTTAATCTTGTGGTCTTGGGATGCGTTCCCGTGTTGGTTGTGAGAGTGTTGAGTCTTACGTTGGCTTTTACTCTTGGTTTTACACTTATATATATGTATTCCGTTTTGAAATGATTTTGTATATATATCCTATCTATGTATGATACTTAACAGGTATTGGTGGGTTACCAGCATTATCGCTGACCAGGCGTCGTCCCATGTTTATCTTTGTGTTCTTTCAGGTGATGTCTAGACGGGCGCGATGTCTAGTGCCCGATAGTTTAGTACCTTTCCTTTGCTTTATGGCCTGTGAGCCGATGTAGTGTTAGACTTATGACTTTGGGATAGTTGTGTACACAATGCAGATTTGACCGCCGTAGCGTTTATCATTGTTGGTAAACGTGGCATAACACCACTGTTTTAGATTTACTTTTATCCAGTTACCTTTTTATCTTCCGCTGTGCTAGAGTTTTGTTGTGTTATCTGCATGTGTTAAGGCTTTTTATATAGCATGTTTGGGGGGGGGGGGGGTGTTACAGTTGGTATCAGAGCCTAGGTTTGAACCTAGGATGAGTTAAGTCTAGACTTTCTAAGTGGTATTGTTTAAATATTTTCATGGCATTAATAAAAATACTTGGTAAATAAATATATAGCATTATTTTGTATAATAAAATAATTGTATAGGTATGGTTGAAACCAAATACGTGACATAAAGGAGAGCAAATAAAAATTAGGGCATAAAATATTAAATATATACTAATATTGAAGAGCTAACTGCTGATTGCCAAACAAGGACATTGCGAGATATTATTATTATTATTATTATTATTATTATTATTATTATTATTATTATTATTATTATTATTATTATTATTATTATTATTATTATTATTATTATTATTATATTTGCAACAATATTGCTACTTCATTATGAGATGCTAGATCGTGATTATGCTAATAGTTTTATTTCAAAATGTTAATTTTTTTAAAGACAAAATGTTAAATTTTAATATGTAAACAAACTAATTTAAATTTTATAAAAATGTCCTTTATAGTCTTTTTACATTTATCAGCTTATCAAAGAGCTATTTTACCAAACACTTTCAATCATAACAGCTAGCTTAACAGCTCTTCAGTTTTCAGCTCCGAGCTTATAGCTTTTCAGCTTTCAGCTCCTTTTCAGCTTTCAGCTCCTAGCTTATAGCTTTTCAGCTAGATTTGCCAAATAGAGCCATATTACTTATTTTAAAAAAAAAATATTGGACATTATCTCAATCGCGCAATGCGCGTAAAAAACTAGTATATTTATACGTTTTAACATATTGGTAGTATATGTTTAACAATTATGCCAACTTTAATTGGGATAGGGTTCGAACCTAAGACCTTCTTATAGAAATTAATAAGTAAGTTAAGAATAATAAATAGTTAACGGAATATTCCGTTACTAAAGTTTATACTAACGGAATTTAGAGTTATTAAAGGGAAGAAAATAATATAATAGAGGGTAAATAAGAAAAATCATTAAATCATTAAATAATATTAAAATCAAAATAATATGTACCATTCATTTTAAGAAACAATTACACCGACATTTGTTTGTTCAAATTAAGGGCCTAACATTATTGGCTCTAATTAGATTTGTACATTTGTAGATTTTATATATATATATATATATATATATATATATATATATATATATATATATATATATGTGTCTTACGGTGCGGCATCACCAATAGTTCAACAAATATACACCATCAACTTTAGGAAAATACACCACAAAAAACAGAGGAAAATTAGGTATGCATCACCAAACACACACCATTAGGAGTGAGTAAAAACACCATACACTGTTCGGAAATACACCATTGGGGTCGTTGAGATATATGGTGTATTTTTTTGGGTCTATTGTGTATTTTTTGATGTTTTATTGCATTTCATTATTGTGTATTTTTCTTACACTGTTGGTGTATTCTGAAATTCCGCCGCACGAGAAGACCCCACCGCATTTGAACTTTCTTCTATATATATATATATATATATATATATATATATATATATATATATATATATATATATATATATATATATATATATATAATTCAACGACACATGTTTATTTAATTGTAATATACTAATATTCGTGTAATTATTATCTTAATTAACATAATAATTATCTGTGCAATTAATTTTTTAATTAAACTCATTAATTTTAATATATTAATTGTTTTAATATTATATTGTGCAATCTATTTAATATCAAACTCATTCGATGCTATACGAATTGGAGTAGTGACAGAATAATATGGTTGAATAGGAATAGGAATTTTAATATTGTTTTGTATTGTATTACGAATAGGTATTTTAACGTAGAATTGTAGTACGAACAGAAAAGTAGTAAACAATATATTCTATAAGAATTGTATTACACTATTTTATGGAAGATTTTGTTTTTATAGATAACTAGTATTTTCACCCGTGCGTTGCACGAAATGAATTTGTTATAATAGTTTAAGAATATTTGTATCAATATACAATTATATAAATTATAAAAACAAATATTATATAGTGCAATTGATTAAGTGAGTTGGATATATTATGTTTTCTGATTTTATCTTTGCTTGATTTCAATTTATACAATTTATACAATTAAAATTTATAAACTTAGTTGACAAATAGGTCTAACATTTCTCATCCGGACGACTTAAACAATGCAAATGTCCAATGGTTTGTCTCAATATTTTCATGAATATATTATTAATACTATTGAACAACATGAACTGTTCAATGGTTACTGTATTGAACACCATGAGCTGTTTTTATAAATTCATAACATTAACTCCACAAATTAAGCTAAACAAATATCTCAAACGATACACTTCAAACTTAATTATTATATCGTATATATAATTTAGTTTCACTTAAAGATATTCACTTTGACACTTCTAAAAATGTAATATTATAATAAATGTGGCAGTAGTCTGGTGAGTCATTTACTTTAATTCACTGGAAATAAAAGACAGTAACTTCATATTGACAATTTTTTTATAAGTCTGTGATAATCTATCAAACTGATAGCAACGTAGAAAGAATGTAATAACTTATATTAAAGACTTGGAGGATGTATGGATTCCATTGAATACCAATGAAATATACAAATGGGAACATGCACAAAAGTTCAGTTCTAAATGTCCACTACAAAAAAAATGCAGAAATAGCGACGGACAAATTCCGTCGCTAAATAGGGAAAATCCGTCGCTAAATACTTTAGCGACGGATTAGTGACGGAATTTGTCCTTCGCAAAAACATGCGTTGCTAGAATCGGGCGACGCAATTTATTTCCGTCGCTAAGCAAAAGCAATCCGTCGCTAAATTTCTTCCGACGACAAATTTGAAGACGAAATTTGTGAGGGAATAACGACGGAATATTTTATCGCTAAATCTAGTGACGGAAATTCCGTCGCTAAACCAACAAAATTTTCGTCGCTAGTTTCCTACCATCACAATCTAGTGACCAAGTTTGTAAGGGAATAGCGACGGATTATTCTGTCGTTAAATTTAATTATGGATTTTTCCCTCACTGTTTATTGTTATTAGATACTTAACTACGAATTTACTACAATATTTGTCCGTAGCTAAATTTTAAAAATTAAAAAAAAATTACCCGCTAATTAATATCACATGCCTACATTAACCCTATAATATAGTACTTCAATAATATAATCGTAAAATATATTATATTAAAAAATTCAAACTCAATAACAATAACAAAAGTATAGCATTGTGTAATGTTGGATCATTATAAACAGTACCAAATATATTAACAAACATAATCTAATCATCTCCTAAGTTTTCATGATCTAACAAGTACATAATGATCACCAAACCCACATGTCAAATAGATCCAAAAATGGGATGTTTCCTTCTAGTGTAGCACCACTTCCATTTAGTAAAACAAAAGTTCCTTCATCACCTTCCTTCTTCATCTTTGCAATCACACAAGTCCCAGCTGGAGTTCTCCGCATCATCATGGGAGAACCGAGATCAAAATAAACATCTTCAGATGACCGATCAAGCAGTATCCTTGGATTAACATCTTTGGATTCAGGAGATATAACCCAAGTTTTAACTCTCCTTGTCTTGTACCATGATTCATAGACCAATGCCAGTGTGTTATCACACCACGAAATCCCTTTATATAAGTAAATGATCAAAAGACTCAGAAGGTCACTGATTAAATTCTAAACATGCACACAATAATAGTCTTGGAAACCACCAGGCATGCAAACTTGTAATAAAGTTACTACTCAAAATTAATAGTCTAATATATTCATCCAATACCAAAGGCATCATTAAGAACTTCTGGAGACGCAAAATAGTCTACTATGTCACATTAAATCACGTGTCACGGGCTGCTCACTGTATTAGATAGCATATATATATATATATATATATATATATATATATATATATATATATATATATATATATATATATATATATATATATATATATATTCCACTATTTCTATTGAATTACAAGAACCATTTGTTATTTCAAGTTTTTAACCAGCGTTTTACTAAGAATAGATGCTTGAATGCAAATTTAGAAAAACTATAATGATGTATGTGCACACACTAATTGAACTAGCAAAATAGTATCAATAAATGGCAGGGGAAAAAACTTGTATGCGTACCCATATTGAAGATCAAGTTTATGCAAGACTGTTGGCTGCTCATTTTCATGTGGCTCAGCAGGCTACGAATAAATTATATCACATGCAGAGGCTTCAACTTTAGCATCACCACCATCTTGTGTCTCAGCCCTTGACATTTCACAGCACAAATATATATTAAGAGTGTTGTTTCTTAAACATCCACAAATAGGTTCTAGCTAGCTTGAATAATACTCTTCTGATAATTAGATTGAACCTTAGGTCCAGATGGAACTAAAGGCTTCTTTGGTGGATCTCCACGAGATAATGGGATGATACAAACCAATAGAGTTGAGTCATTCACCCAAACAAAGATGAGAATTAGCAAAAAAGTGTCAGCACATATAAAGAATTACTCACTTTCTTTTAAAAATAATGTAGACAAAGAAAAGTAAATACTTGTCAAAAATAGCATTTAGGTACACATCTGTAGACTGGAACAGTGGTCTAGCAGTTCCTGTTTTCACATCGAAGACCTGGGTTTTAGCATGTTATAGGTTTAAGGTTCTCTGATATATAAAATAAATGGATTTCAACATATGTCTACATATCAAGATGCTTTCTGGAAGCTGATAAGGCCTTACAAATTAAAAGAGTGAATGGATTTCAAAAATGGATCAACAGAATATTTCTGTCAAATGATTATAAGCTAACTATAAGGCCTAAAGACATTTTCATACAAAAAATAAATATAACAGTGGACTACCTAGCAAGAAACGATTTATATATATGTTTGCCACAATGTAGAAAGAGATTAGTAATAGCATGGGGCATCATTTGTAAGAAGCCAACGAATGAAGTACCTCCTCAACTCGGACACTGAAGGCTAAATAGTGACCATTATTTGGGCTTCAAAGGAAATAGCAAATAGGTTATACAAAAAGATGACATGTTTTTGCAGAAAATGTACTGTATATTCAAAGAATAGATTAATACAATGTGAATTCATATACAGAAGCATATGGAAAAAGGAAAACGTTTCCCTTCCATGAAGTACCGTGTAACAAAATTAATTACTTGCGAAGTCTTGCACCTTCAACACCAACCAAACAAGAGAAAACACTCTAAATTTACATTGAAAACTTCGCAATCCATTTTGCACTAATTTAAGATTGCGTACAGATGCACTCTAGAAACCCTCACTACAAATAGTGTAAACTATTGTAAAGTGATGCAATTTCTCAACAATATAAAACCAGACAACTGCACCAATAACGCAGCGTCAGAATCAAGAAAAACCCTGATATTTCTCACAATTGAATCGCAGCCCAAAAACATAGCATTAGAATCAAGAACAACCCATAACAGATTTTTCCCCAGTTGAAAAAACATTAGACAGCAATAGACATACCAGAGAGAATAGAGCACCATGGGAGGTGGCGGTCGGCGAAACAGGCAGCGGGGAAGCAGCGCCGTTGGCAGTCAACGGGGAGGCAGCGTTGTCGGTAGTCGAGGGAAGACGGCGCAGTCGGTAGAGATTTGTGGGAGAGTCGCAGGCAGCGCCGGAGAGACACGAGTTTTGTTAGGTTTAAATTTGTTCAGCATTAAAAAAACAAAAGGAATTTTGAAATTGAAAAACTTTCAAAAAATTATCACTCTTAGCGACGGATTTGTAAATCCATAGTTATTATAATTAAAAAATAATCCATGTTTTCAATTTAGTGACGGAAAAATATTCGTCGTTAATGTATATAAAATTAATCTCGCATATAAATTTAGCAACGGAATCTAAAATCCGTTGCTAAATTGTAAAAAAAAAAAAAATCAAATATGTAAGTTAGTGATGGAATTGAAATTCCGTCGCTAAAATGTTTTCAAAAAATCGCGGTTTGTAGGTGTAGCGACGGATTCTTATATCAATCGCTAAAATGTTAACGCAAACAAATCTTTGCGAGAATATGTAGCGACGGATCCATAAATCCGTCGCTAATTTGTTACAATTAAAATTATAGAATTATCCTGCAAAAAAATCCGTCGTCAATATGTCTCTAATTTTTGCACCAATATTTACCGCTAAATTTAGCTACGTATTTAACGACGGAAATATTCCGTCGCAATATCGGTCTCAAAATCGTCGCTAAATATTTATTTAACAAAAAAATTAAAATCTATCACTAATTTGTCACTATTCCGTCGCTAAATTAGTAACGAAATGCATCTGTCGCTAAATCCGTTGTTATTTCCGCGTTTTTTTTATAGTATTACACCTTATTAATAAAAAAATATATATATATAGAAATATTAGCATAAAATTACCATATAAATTACATTGAATAATGATAATAATAATTTATTTTGTTCTCATATTATTATACCTATAAATATATATATATATATATATATATATATATATATATATATATATATATATATATATATATATATATATATATATATATAATTCAACGACACATGTTTATGTAATTGTAATATACTAATATTCGTGCAATTATGATCTTAATCTATATCTATATATATATAAAAGTAAAATCCTCCTAACAAATTTTCCCCCCAAAATTTTGTAGTAAAACTTATTTGGTAAGTAAATGTCAAATGGAAATAAATAAAATCTATTAATTGGTAATATTATATATGGTATTATATTCTATAATATAATTGATAATATTATTGTTCATGCATAATAAAAATATTATTGTTCAAATATAAAATAAAATTAAAATAATAATAATAATAACAAAAACAACAGCAACAATAATCTATATCTATATCTATATATATATATAAAAGTAAAATCCTCCTAACAAATTTTCCCCCCAAAATTTTGTAGTAAAACTTATTTGGTAAGTAAATGTCAAATGGAAATAAATAAAATCTATTAATTGGTAATATTATATATGGTATTATATTCTATAATATAATTGATAATATTATTGTTCATGCATAATAAAAATATTATTGTTCAAATATAAAATAAAATTAAAATAATAATAATAATAACAAAAACAACAACAACAATAATAATAATAATAATAATGATAATAATAATAATAATAATATAATAATAATAATAATAATAATAATAATAATAATAATAATAATAATAATAACAGTTTTATTATCAAATTTATTAGGAAAAATTATATTAGTAATATATTATTAATTAAATAATTAGGGAAAACCATTAGAACAATGCTGTAATAATATATTAGGAATGTACGTAGTTATACAATATATAGTAATTAAGGTTATTATTGTTAATTAAGCTAATTAGTGTGTAGTATTTTATATTTATATATAAAAGCAATACTCATACACAATGTATATGTATATGGAATGCGTGTAGTAGTGGGTAGAAAGTAAATAATTGGAAGCTTTTACCTTTCTTAATATCTCTTACCATTTTATAATTTCAATACTAAGCTCTTTTGATCTCATCTATTGTGTATAAATACACCTTATATGATCATAGACAACTCATCAATTTCACAATCTCAACTAAGGTTAATTATTTCATTGACTTTTGCTAATTATCCTGTGATCTTCCACAATTGAGGTTGATACGTGATTTGCACGGGTGAAGTTTTCATTATCTTAGTTTCTTTTTTCTTTCTTTCTTATTGGGTTTTGTTTTGTTTTTTTTGTTTTTTGTTTTTTTTTTTTTTTGTTTTTTGTTTTTTTTTTGTTTTTTTTTGTTTTTGTATTTTTCGATTTTTAAACAAGAAAAGTGGTTCGTAAGAAAAAATGTTGATATATTCTTTTTTTTTTTGTTTATTTTTGTAGAGAAGATACAGATCTATAAAGATTGATGGGGAAGCAATAGAGTTCCTTGCTCATCAAGTGGATAAAGTGGGGATGGACGGATTCTGTGTATATGTAAACAGATGCAAAGGGAAGCATGATAAGAATACACTAAAAATGAAAATAGTATTCAAAGCATTTTTTTTAGTTGTCAATTTGTCAAAGTGTTGGGCTTTCTTTTGATTCAATCTCTCCGTCTTTAAAGTGTGCATTTTATGTAATAAAAGAGTAATTTATCTCTCCCTTCAAGATGTTTTGGCATTTTCGGCGGAATCAACACTGCGGAAGCAATCTTGACTTTGTCGGTGCGGAAGTTGTTTTTTTTTTTTGTTTTGTTTTGTTTTTTTTTTTTTTTTTTTTTGCAAATTTGAAGTTGGCATTGCTTTGGATTAAATTAGTAGTTATTTTTATGGCGGTGGTGGAAGAAGATTTCTGTAGCAGTTCATGTTAGAGGGCGGTGGTTGAAGTTTGTGGGGATGACAACTCAATGAGAGTGTGGATCGTAAATATATGTGTATTAATTTTTTTTTTTTTTGTATATTCACTACCATTTTTAAGATTCATATTTATATTTACATTCATATTAATATTGTATTTTCTTTCCTGCATAATTTTAGGCTTAGTTTGTTGATATATCAATAACATTGTTCAATCCCAGTGAATAAGGATTATTCCTTTGTTGTGTAGTACCATAGAGAATTGCTATGCTATTCGATCCATTTTGAAGGTGAAAAAGGTATTTATCTTTATCCTAGAATCTAATTTTATGTTGTTTTTAACTTTATTTTTTGTTTGGATGTTTGTCTCTATCTCTTTTGTCAACCTTGAAGGGTTTCAACCATGGCCGCCAATCATTGTAGATGAAAACTTGCAGGATGACTTTTTTTAAATTTAGAGGTGGTAGTAACCCCTAGAACAACTTTGATTGTATTACATAATATTGACTTGGTGGATACAAAAACCAGAAATGCAAAATGAAGAATCTGAGTGTTTTTAATATTTTTTTTATTTTAATACTTTCTATTAAAAGTTTATTATTTTAGTTAATTACACATTTTAAATATCAAATCTAAATATGGTAGCTACTCATTTTAAATATTCAAGTTAATCGAATTTAAATTTCCTCTAAAATATGCATAAATTGAACATATATATATATATATATATATATATATATATATATATATATATATATATATATATATATATTATGTATATGGTTTAAATTTGTTTTGCATTGGTAGTTAATTACTATACAATCATGTAATGAAAATCAAAAGTTTCATATTTAATTCTTATTAATATACATGAAATGATGCAATTGCATATATTGAAAAAGTAGTATATAAATTTAATAAAGTATATTTTATTGGTAGTTTTATTTAAAAAAATGTAATATTTTGCAACTATTTCAGGTAAGCACTTTAGCAAGTTGTTTGTATATTATATTTATTAATTACTTTATTTTTATTTTGTGAAAATATTTCATGCTGAAAATTGAATTGTAGATGTATCATATCTTTTTCTTTAGCATAATATTCTTTTTAATTTTATTGTGATGAAGATTGTATTTATGAGTTTAGATATTGGATGGATTAATAACTATCATATTCTTTTTAATTTTACTGTGGTGATGATGAAGATTATACAGATGAGTCATGAGTTTACATTGGACAAATTAACATGGATGTTAGTAAAGGATGTGACAACACCTAACAGGCACAATTAATATATAGATTAATTAGTCTGGCTGGTGTAATCGAAATTACTAATAAATGAGAATATATATTTTCTTTTGTAGTTTACCTACTAATGTAGCTTACTAAGATGTTTGTAATAACTTTTTATTTTAATACGGTGTATTAAAAGTTTATTATTTTAGCTAATTACTCATTTTAAATATCAAATCTTATTTAATTGATAGTATATTTTTGGAAATCAATAAAATAATAGTATGTTTTTTTTTTTCAATTGTAATATCGCAATGTTTCCTATATAGTTATTACATAACAAAACTTTAAAATGAATAAAGGTTACATATCGTATTTACACATGAAACGTATTTATAGTAACAGTTGTTAGTATTATAAAATTACTTCAACATAGAAATATTAAAAAAAAAATTATTGATAATTAAATAATTAATATGTATTAAAAAGAATCATTGACTAAGAAAAAATGGCATGAAAAGTAGATCAGTTTGAAAAAGAAATGATAAATAATACATGATTAAAAATGACACATAATATATTACTGAAAAAAGTAGATCAATTTGAAAAGGAAATAATAATTAATACTTGATTAAAAATGACACAGAATATATTACTGGAAATAATATATATATATATATATATATATATATATATATATATATATATATATTATTAATTAACTAATTAATATGTATTAAAAAATCATTGACTGAGAATAAAAATGGCATGCAAATTATATCAATTGAAAAAGGAAATAATAATTAATATTTGATTAAAATGGCATGAAATATATAAATTCTGAATATATATCGGAAATTATATTAATAATTATAGTATAAATTAATTGATATGTATTAAAAAAA